CTTCTCCGTGTGAGAAGAGGCTTTGCTCAACAGTGGGCATTTATAGGCTGTTGATGATGAACTTAGCTATGCTATCGCTATCTCTTAACCAGTTCATGTGAACATTCTAGTTAGGGACACTACACTGGAGGAGTTGGGTGTGTTGCCGGCCTTTTGGGGGTGATTGAAGTCAGCACGATTGGGCCGGCTTGTTGGGAGAAAACCGACTTTATATAACGGTTGCATTGATTCATGTACAATGGTTGAGGCATACCCAATATTTGCATGTCGCGGAGAACCTAACGGGTAACCGAGGCTCCGGCTCGACGTGCAGGAGAAGGAACGAGGTGGTTTTTAGTCAGTAAGAGTCTGACACTCCCTTCCGCCTCACCCAGGCGGGAGCAGGCATTCGATGATTTTCTCCCCTTAAAAAAAGAAACCCAATATTTGCATATCCAACGGGTAGAACAAAGAGATATAAGTATGTAACAAAAATAAATAATACCTTAGTCACTAATTATGTACTACACCTCTGTTCAGCAAATAAAGCCTTTTGATTTGATTTGATTCGTCGTGTTAGTGAGGTTGCCGGAGGCTTAACTATACCCTTTCTCAATCTCCCCAATCCCTGAATCCCCGACTTCAACTCCTTACTCCCCAAAAGGCCGGTAACGCACTTGTAACGCCTCTGGTGTTCCAGGTGTCCATGTGTGACGCAAATTGCTTACCATCAGGTGATCCGTCTGCTCGCTTACCGGTTTATCCAATAAACAAAAAAATAATCTCACTCACACGGCTGCACACAAAGCTGTGTCAGTGTCACGCCGGTGTACTGTGAGGCCGTGGTATCACGCCGGTCGAGCCGACAGAGCAGTATCGAAACATGGCTGTCCCACACTCGAATTCAGAGCAAAGACCCTAAAGAAGTATGTGAGAATCGTCACAATTGGCGTTCCATAGTGTCTGCCTACCCTCATGGGAATCAGAGCATGTAAACATATATTTGTAAAATATAACGTCACGACTTTATATTGAGTACGATTATTACTGAGTCGTGGTGGTCCGGAGGCTTAAGACGCCCGCTTATCATGCATGAGGGTGCGGGTTCGAAACCTACCAATGGCAAGTACCAATGTGACTTTTTCCGAGTTATATGTACTTTCTAAGATTATTTAGACACCACTGACAAACAGTGGAGGAAAACTATAAGTTTGTAATCGCCAACCCGCATTGAGCAAGCGTGGTGATTAATGCTCAAACCTTCTCCGTGTGAGAAGCAGCAGTGGGTATTTAAAGGCTGTTGATGATAATGAACGTCACGACTTATTCACCGAAGGGTAGGTAGAAGTATACACACACATTTTCTCAATTATGACATAAATATAATAAAGACCATGTCTATCATTTGTTTTACACTGCACTCATTAAAAATATTTATCAAAATCTACAAACGCAATAACGCTTTACCTAACTCGAGAATCAAACCGAAACCCTTCCTTCTTAAATGCAAAAACCAACACTCACCTGCACCACTTCACATAAGAACAAAAAGAAAAAATTAAGAAAATAATAAATCCACTATATAAAATGTAATACACCTTGTCTGTCTGTCTACTGAATGGAATGAAGAGTTGACACAAAATGGATGTCACCTTGACACAATGTCCTACATTTTTAACTCAATTTGGGGTTCCATACAAAAAGAGGTAACGCCTTTTTAACCGACTTCCCAAAAAGGAGGAGGTTATCATTCGTCTGTATGTATTTTTCCTTTTTTTTTGTATGTATGTTACCCGATTACTTCGATACTCCGATGTTTGTGGACGGATTTTGATGAATCTTTTTTTGTTGGAAAGGTTATAATTATTCTCGGGGTGGTCCCATTTCCACCAGGTCAGGATCTGATGATGGGATCCCACGGAAACCGAGGGGAACTTTTCAAAATTGTGTGGGTGGCGAGAGCGTTTGTTAATTTTTTGATATAGTATTTAAAACCACTACAATTTGATGAAGGTATGAAGTCGATCTGATGATGGAGTCAAGAGACAGCTGAGGACACTCCTCGAGGATTTGTAGCAATGACCCCGTGTTTGGGCTTAAATTCAACGGTTAACAGTAGCTACCTGGTGTTTGGGCTTGATTAATTTGTAGTGATGAGAACTTTACACCTAATGGGGTATGACTGTCATTAGGGGCCTGATGATGAAGGAGTATGATAGCTAAAGGAACTCCTCAACGGCTGACAGTAGCTACTTGATGTTTGGGCTTTATTAATTTGTTTTGATAAGAACTTTACACCTGTAAACAAGCAACAGAAAAGCTCTACTAGTTTCGACCCACAGAGGAGTTCTTCCTCATGAGTAGTAGTAGCCAGTAGGTTGCGCGACATCGCCGCGACCGAGCACGCTGGTTCGAAACTAGTAGAGCTTTTCTCAGTATATTCACGATAGTTATTATAAAAACAAGTGGAAATGTCTTCTTCGTACATTTGTGGAATACGCCGGTAAAATAGCATACGGATCACCCGATTGGTAACTAATCGGCGTCGCCCATGGATATCTGGATCACTAGAGGCGTTACAACTGCGTTGACAACCTTCTGGTGATGATGTTGGGCAGATTGGGTCTCATAATGTTTGCTAGACTAAGGGCACGGTAATTTCTGGATAACCGGTATATACTGAATTTAATTAGGAACGTAATTTGTATGAACTAAATCTGTCCCATAAGTTTATCGGGTACTTATATCAAGGTGGTAAAACACCCACTTTCTATGATTATCTAGACCCCGCTGACAAACGGTGAAGGAAGACATCGTGAGGAAACCTGGGCTTATAATTTCTTATTACAAATTTGTAATCGCAAACCCGCATTGAGCAAGCGTGGTGATTAATGCTCAAAGCTTCTCCGTGTGAGAAGAGGCTTTGCTCAGCGGTGGGCATTTAGAGGCTGTTGATGTGATATTTAATTTTTTAACCAATTTATTTGCGATCATAGGTACATGTGCGAAAGTGACTTGCAGCTAACTTCACACCCGCCATAACTCGTGAACCGTACAGTATCCTTGTTGTGCGTCGTGACTAGGGTTGCCACCCGTACTTTATAATAAAGTATTGTACGTTATTTAAACTGTCAAACACCAAGCGGTCACCGGTGACCGCGACCCATTGTTCTTTAATTGTGTCTATAAAACCGGTACTCGACGAGTTAAGGTAATTGTACTCTATACTTTATGTCGCGGTGAACCTAACGGGTAACCGGGGCTCCGTCTCTACGTGCAGGAGAAGGAACGGGGTGGTTTTTAGTCAGTAAGAGTCTGACACTCCCTTCCGCCTCACCCAGGCGGGAGCAGTCATTCGATGATTTTCCCCCCTTAAAAAAAAAAAATACTTTATGTCGCGGAGAACCTAACGGGTAACCGAGGCTCCGGCTCGACGTGCAGGAGAAGGAACGGGGTGGTTTTTAGTCAGTAAGAGTCTGACACTCCCTCCCGCCTGAGTAAGGCGCCTGAGTAAGGCCTCCTGCTGTCAGTAGTAATTCGATGATTTTCCCCCCTTAAAAAAAAACTATACTTTATAAGAATAATGAGGTACACGAAAATACTTTATTTTCGCAAACTTCATTTCTATTAAAGTCGTAAGTATTTTTCGGTAAACTTATCGATTCGATATCGATATTTATCGATTTATTTTAAGTCGATTTCGCCACTTGCCACTTAGACAATTTCTAGTAAAGAAGTAAAGATGCAATTGTTTAGTATTTCAATGCAATTGTTTAGTAAAGGTACTAATTTAATACAAACTGCAAAAAGCAATAAAAAATATAATTTTAAACATAATATTAAATAAGAATAAATTGTAGTACTTTATTTTTATGTTGTGTACTCTTTTTTACCTTTAATCGTCAATGTACTTTAAATATTAAAAAAAAAGGTGGCAACCCTTGTCGTGACGTAATTATTGGTTTTTCTTGATTTCTTCTTTATACGGAACCATTAAGAATTAATACGATTCGCACTGTATTTTTTTTAAATGTGCATTCAAGCTACCGGTGACACAAGGCAGGAATCTCGAATGAGTGTCATTGATCATCAACAGAGGTTGACAGTCCACTCCTGTACTATGAGCCTCCTCTACAGGGGTGCTCTACAGAGGTACTCTAGAGGGGTGTGTCATAACCTCCACACTTGAAAATCTCAGATTATTAGATAATTATTTTATACTAATATAGGTGAATCGCTGATTTTTTCAAAGTCACGGATTATCGACATTTCTTCTTATAATTTCAGTAAAGAATAAGTCTGTGGACCATGGACAAGACTTTCACTTCATTTTATATTTTTAGCTTTTATTTTATTTTATTTTATTTTTGGTTATGTTATGTGTGTTTTGCGCAAGAATAAATGGTTTTTCTTTCTTTCTTTCTTCCATATAAAAATCAACCAGCCGTGAAAATTATGTTGATTGATGAAATCCGTCTTTATTCTTGGAAATAATTTGTTTTTGACCTCCGATAGACATTATTTAATAGTATTTTACATTACATACATACATAACATCACGCCTTTTATACCCAAAGGGGTAGGCAGAGGTGTACATTATGCCACTGTACAACGTAACACCCACTTTTCACTATTTATGTTATGTGTCCCATGTAATAGGGGGTGAGCCTATTGCCATATACCGGGCACATATTCTAGACTCCGTGATACTACTGAGATTTTTTTTAAAACCCAGTAATACTTTGCCCCACCCTGGAATCGAATCCCTTGCTCGGCAGTCGCACTAGCGATCACTCGGCTAACGAGGCAGTCTATAGGTACAGATAAATAAAATTGAAGTGTCTGTTTGTAATATTGACATAACCGTATAACATGAAACTCATATTCTACGCGGACGAAGTCGCAAGCAACAGCTAGTACGCCATAATAATTTATATACAATAGAAAGTTATAAATAATATCTAAAACCAATAGAAAAGGTCGTCTGGTGATGGCAGATTACAATACATTTGTCACCAGGCCTAATCTTCCCGCGGGTGTCGTATACCCGACGTGACATTACAGTACCCAACTTGTAGGACTACACATTTGATAGACAGTGGGCAGCAGCGCTTCCTGAGGTACCGGATGCCCAATACCCCCCCCCTCTCCCTAGTCTTCCTGACCCCCGAATCTCCTACAATCCTCCTTCAAATTAGTTCAGCATCATCAAATTTCCAATCCCCAAAAGGCCGGTAACGCACTTGTAACGCCTCTGGTGTTCCAGGTGTCCATGGGCGACGCTGATTACTTACCATCAGGTGTAAGACCGTTTACCGGCTTATCCCATAAAAAAATAAATTTGAAATTTTTGAACTGTGATCTTCAGCCCCTCTACCCAACGTGGAGATTGAATAGGTGAATAGGTTGCTTATGGGACGACGTGCTCCATCGTAGACCGCATCATCGCTTACCACCAGGCGAGATAGTGGTCAAACGTCGGCCCATCAAATATAAAAATAGGTCACCCTCAATATGTAAGTCTTTATAATAACTATCGTGAGACATACTAAATTAACTAAAAATCGCGGGTTACTCACGTGAATATACTGAGAAAAGCTCTACTAGTTTCGAGCGATAGAGGGGTTCTTCCTCTAGCTATTCTCAATATTTTCACGTGATCAATGTCAAGATGTAGTACGATCATCAAAAATGAAACAAAACAATAACAATTAACATTTTATTTTTGCCTAAACCGGGATGAGAACACAGAACGCTGAGTACACAGTACGAAGCACGCTGTATATGAGGTATCCGTATAAGAGTACACACAGGATGTGGACATATTTCAGTACTCGTTGTTTCTTCAGTCCATAATCTGAACCTTTCAGGCCGTCTTTTACGATATATCTGAAAATTATGAAAATTTAAGTGTGGGAGAGCCATGCTTCGGCACTGCTGGGCTGCCTCGACCGGAGTGATACCACGGCCGAGCAGAAAACCGACGTGAAGCAACGCTTGCGTTGTGTTTCGTCGTGTGAGTGAGGTTACCGGAGGCCCAATTACCCTTCTCTTCCCCAATCTTCCCAATTCCTTAATCCCCAACGATCAATCCTCAAACTCCTAATCCCCAAAAGGCCGGTACCGCACTTGTAAAGCCTCTGGTGTTCCAGGTGTCCATGGGTGACGCCGATTGCTTACCATCAGGTGATCCGTATGCCCGTTTACCGGCTTATGCCATAAAAAATCTATTATTATACTATCATATAAAAATGCTGAAGTTATGTTTGAACGCACTAATCTCTGAAACTGCTGCTTCGAATTGAATAATTATTTTGATTTTGGATACTCCATCTTTTGAAGAAGGCTTTACTTTTACATTTTAGACCTCTTTATCAGAATAATATTAAATGAACATATTCTGTAGTGAGTCCAAAATCAAGCTCAAGATTCCAATTCCATCATCAAACCAGTTCGATGGCAGCATAATATTGTATTGTCATCTAATCTACATACAATTGTCAAGTTTCACGATGATACAATAGTTAGAAGTGTGTGTAATTCAGATTCTTAGGTTTTGTTACATAGTTCGTTACACGTCGACCCAATGATAGCGTGTTACACATACCTTCGCAGGCCAATAGACACAGAGACAACGACGTCCTTTGGGTCATATTCTCTAACATTGCATCTAAATATGGCCTGGTCTGCGGGATCCAGCCTATTAATCATAGCCACGATATTATCATCTCTGATCTTCCAGGAATTAAATAAGAAGTACTCGTAGACTTGGAATAATTTATAGGTCTTTTTGTAAATCGATGTTATGCTGAAATGTAAAAATTTGGCATTAATAGGGTGGGAGAATTCGGACGGCGATCATGGGTGTGTCGCCACCCGACCAGAACCAGACCCGAGCGTACGGCATGTCGCGTTCCGCGCGCGCTTCAAAGAGCCATCAGACCACTACTGTAACGGATGGGGCCCAATAGAGCTGATGCCGATACAGAGCCGCGGAGGACTTAATTGGTTGCCGGGGTTCCGGCTCCAAGTGCAGCAGTTGGAACGGGGTGGATTTTAGTCAGTAAGAGTCTGACACTCCCTCCCGCCTCACCCAAGCGGGAGAAGTAATTCAATGATCCTCCCCGCTTAAAAAAAAAGGTGGGAGAACCATGCTTTGGTATTAGCGGGCCAGCTTGACCGGGCTGACGTAAAACAACAATTGCGTTAGTGGCAGCGCGACAGTCGCTGCGTCGCGGGTCGCGGAATGCTGTTCATGAATATGAGTCTCTAGCATGGCTTGAAACTAGTCGAGTTCCTCGTCAAACATTTACGTGAGTAAGCCGAAAACATATTCAGTATGTCTTACGAAAGTTATAATATAAACAACGCTTGCGTTTTGTGTATCCATGTGAATGAGGTTCCTTGAGGCTCCCTCCCATCTTCAATCCCCAATCTTCATATCCCTAACCCCCAAAAAACCAGCAACACACTTGTAACGCCTCTAGTGTACCGGGTGTACATGGGCGACGCTTATTGCTTACCATCAGGTGATCCATGTGCTCGTTTGCTCACCTATCCTATTCTAAAGTTTTTACTTTAGATTTTTTGAAAAACGTTGCCCCCCACACTCGTGTTTTCTCCTGTATCGTGGGTGCGTTTACAAATACACTAGTTCACATACATATGACACCCAGACCAGGAGCAACAATTTGTCGATCACACAAAGAGTTATTCCGTGCGGTGACCGAACCCGTGACACGGTGCACGGCAGCAAATTGCATTGCCAGTGCTGTCAGATTCGGGGATGGTTGGTAAAAACGTACCTACATACATTGATGTTTTAACTTACGATGGTAGTCCCTTTGGTCTGACTCCAAGAACACTCACAATGGAGTCTACTAAATATCCAGGAATATAATGAAACAGCCAAGTTAGGAACCAGAATAGTAATGAACTAGTTGTTTCAACTGCACAATTATAATACAGAGCTTTTGGCGTGCAAAGTTGTAATAATTCATCTGTCCTCAACGTTGCTAATAGCGGTGCTGCAACAAAAAACAAAGAAATTACTTTTCTAAGTTTAAAAACTTAAAACAAGTGTAAGTGTGGGAGAGCCATGCTTCGGCACGAATGGGCCGGCTCGACCGGAGTGATACCACGGAGTCACAGAAAACCGACGTGAAACAACGCTTGCGTTGTGTTTTGTCGTGTGAGTGAGGTTACCGGAGGCCCAATTACCCTCCCCTTCCCCAATCTCCCCAATCCCTGAATCCCCAACGATCCTCAAATTCCTAATCCCAAAAGGCCGGTAACGCACTTGTAACGCCTCTGGTGTACCAGGTGTCCATGGGCGACGCCGATTGCTTACCATCAGGTGATCCGTCTGATCGTTTACCGGATTATGCATAAAAAATCGTGATGAAACCTGGGCTTATAATTTCTAATGACGGTGATTGATGGTGGTGATGGTACTTACCCCATGAGAAATTACAGTCTGAACTGCCAACGGTGTAAATTGGTATTTCTGAATTGAATTTGTTTCTATTCTGAATGGAATCCCACCCTGCGGCGAGAATAGCGTTATTCACATAGTCCACAGGTGTTATACAGAAATTTGAATGTTTATCGAGATACAAGACATGCATCACGCCAAGTCCAGCTCCTAGAAGAAACTGAAAGAAAATGTTATATGAGTCAGATATACTTTTTTTTTTTCTTTTTAAGGGGGGAAAATCATCGAATGACTGCTCCCGCCTGGGTGAGGCGGAAGGGAGTGTCAGACTCTTATTGACTAAAAACCACCCCGTTCCTTCTCCTGCACGTCGAGCCGGAGCCCCGGTTACCCGTTAGGTTCTCCGCGACGAGTCAGATATACTTATGTAGCTTCTACCAGCGGCTTCACTCGCTCCCCGTGATATAAAAAGTAGTCTATGCATTATTCCAGATCATAATCTATCCCAGTCCCAAATTTCATCCCGATCCCTTCAGCCGATTTTGCGGTGATTGAGTAACAAACATACAGACAAACAGACAACATACATACATACAATATAATACCTCACAGAGGCCAAATTACCCCTCCTCACCTTTCCCAATCCCTGAGTCCCCTACAATCCTCAAATTCCTATTCCCATAACATAACATCACGCCTTTTATCCCCGAAGGGGTTTGGAGGTGCACATTATGCCACTGTACAATGTAACACCCACTTTTCACTATTTATGTTATGACCCCATGTAATAGGGGGTGAGCCTATTGCCATATACCGGATCAATTCCAGACTCCGTGCTATTACTGAGAATTTTTAAAAACCCAGTAATACTTTGCCCGATCCGGGAATCGAACCCGAGACCCCTTGCCCGGCAGTCGCATTTGCGACCACTCAGCCAACGAGGCAGTCTACTCCTAATTCCTTTGTTTCCTTCTCCTAGTTTGATACCCCGATTGCTTACCATCAGGTGATCCGTCTGCTCGTTTGCCACATAATAAATTATTTTACTTACTCCAACTGGCGACGCCATGACGGTTCGGTTGTCTATCCATCCTGGAGTTGGCTCAATATGTGACGATACGACTGAAAAGTTAAAGAAATATGTAAATTATAAGGAGCGAATATTTTTTATAGCTACAAAGTGGTACCCTGAATTATTTGGTTATTATGTGGGAGAGTGATGCTTCTTCACAAATGGGGTGGTTTGACCGGAGTAATACCATGGCCTTGCAGAAAACCGATTTGAAACAATCACAGCGGTGTATGCAGCCGTGTGACTGAGGTTATGGTCCGAAATTCCTCTCAAACCGCTGCATCCCCATTTATCCAATTACCAGTTGTAACTTCCGTAGTAATACGGTCTTGCGAGTGTCGATGAGCGGTGCTGATTGCTTACCATCAGGTAATACGTCTGGTCGCCTTCCGAAAATAAAAAGTTAGGTAGTCTATCTTTCTAACAGTGACAATATTATGACATCTTCAAAAGGGCACAAAGCCAAAAGTCAAAAAGTCAAAATCATTTATTTCAATTAAACCAGAAAGGCACTTTTGAACGTCAACAACAAAAATTTAGAAGTGAAGCTAGTTGCTCATTCTAAGGTGTAGATTCCTATGGAGAAGAACGAGCAAGAAACTCCATAGGTTACTCTTTTCCAATCAGGTTCACAATACAATTCTCTAGTTACACAGTTTTGTCGGTTCGATTGTGTGAGAACAATGCAACACCTAAATGCGATGATAAGAAGACCTACCTACTGCTGGCTTGACTATACAGATGGGCAGATCACCAGCTTGTCTCCTCACCAGTTCTTCAGAAATCGCCTTCGTAAATGTGTATGTGTTTGGCCAGCCATTGATAAAACTGTAAAAATACATAATTTATTATATTCATTTCTAGGGCTCCGGTAACCTCACTTACACGACGAAATACAACGCAACCGTTAGTATATTGTCAGCAGTTCAGATTGTACACCGAAATCATCCACTTGAATTATTCGATCAATAAAAAAATCTGCATCAAAATCCATTGCGCAGTTTTGAAGATCTAAGCATACATAGGGACAGACGGACGGACAGACAGCGGGAAGCTACGTCGTTTGATACTTTTTTTTTGAAGGGACAAGCCCGCCACAGCCTCCCACAACCTCCCACAACACCGGAACACTGAAGTCCGGCGCGTCCCAGGGACATTATTAACTGTCTTGGTTCCCGCAACGAAGTGAATCAGAAGATATTATAAGAGGAGAAGAAAAAAAACGATAGTTTCCACTTCCCTCGGTGAATTACTGCAGGAGACAGAGTGAATTAAGCCTAAAGGCACAAAGAAAAGAGCACTAAACTGTACAACTGGGTGAGGTACTGGGTTTGTTTGATACTGTGTAGTAATTATGTTTCTACTCACCCAGGTGTGATTGAAGTCAATCGTTCTTCTTCCATATTTTCCACCAACTCGATAAAAGCATCTGGTGTTACAGGGGCCTGGTAGAACTGTTCGCAGACATCCTTATTTATACGATCCTTAGTAGCATGAGCGAAAGCAGTTGAAATATGACTGAACAGCCTGTAAAAGTAATAATGCTTCAGTACGTGTGTCGCCTGGACAGTCAACCTCGCTACATCCTTGTTGACTGGACATCTACACTACATGAGCTGCTGTTTACATGTGAACATTAGCTCATGACGATACCTAAGTACGTGTGTCACCTGGACAGTCAACCTCGCTACATCCTTGTTGACTGGACATCTACACTACATGAGCTGCTGTTTACACGTGAACATTATCTCATGACGATACCTAAGTACGTGTGTCGCCTGGACAGTCAACCTCGCTACATCCTTGTTGACTGGACATCTACACTACATGAGCTGCTGTTTACATGTGAACATTAGCTCATGACGATACCTAAGTACGTGTGTCGCCTGGACAGTCAACCTCGCTACATCCTTGTTGACTGGACATCTACACTACATGAGCTGCTGTTTACATGTGAACATTAGCTCATGACGATACCTAAGTACGTGTGTCGCCTGGACAGTCAACCTCGCTACATCCTTGTTGACTGGACATCTACACTACATGAGCTGCTGTTTACATGTGAACGTTAGCTCATGACGATACCTAAGTACGTGTGTCGCCTGGACAGTCAACCTCGCTACATCCTTGTTGACTGGACATCTACACTACATGAGCTGCTGTTTACATGTGAACATTAGCTCATGACGATACCTAAGTACGTGTGTCGCCTGGACAGTCAACCTCGCTACATCCTTGTTGACTGGACATCTACACTACATGAGCTGCTGTTTACATGTGAACATTAGCTCATGACGATACCTAAGTACGTGTGTCGCCTGGACAGTGAAGTCAACCTCGCTACATCCTGGTTGACTGGACATCTACACTACATGAGCTGCTGTTTACATGTGAACATTAGCTCATGACGATACCTAAGTACGTGTGTCGCCTGGACAGTCAACCTCGCTACATCCTTGATCCTTGTTGACTGGACATCTACACTACATGAGCTGCTGTTTACATGTGAACATTAGCTTTCGCTACTTACTTGAGGTTTTGGCATTGTTTGCCTAATTCCAGCATTTCTCGGGTACCTCGCACGTTGATAAGACCTGCCTTTTTCAAAGGTTCATCAAAATTCACTGTAGCAGCTAAGTGGACGATCACATTTACCTGAAAAATATGCGTGACGATTAGTGTTTAAATTTATTACTTACATAATATGTATTTATAGTATTTTAAGTTAAAATTGTAGTAGATACTATAGTATTATTGCATTTTATTATGGGCCTTCGTTACCTGATACAAATAAATAAATAAAATAAAAACAATAAAAATAATAACAAAAAATTGTATTGTGAACCTGATTGAAAAAGAGTAACCTATGGAGTTTCTTGCTCGTTCTTCTCCATAGGAATCTACACTTTGGAATGAGAAAATAGATCAACTAGAGGACTGACCGACAGACTGATATTTTTTTAATATTTCAATATTTTGTTATGACGTTCAAAAGTGCCTTCCTGGTCTAATTGAAATAAATGATTTTGACTTTGACTTTGAGCAGTGGATTGACGATGATGTCATTCCTCAATATCGTATTGATCGCATAGGTACCTACCTCTTTCGTCAATGTATCCCAATCCTTGTCACTTAGGCCAAGCTTTAAATCAGCCACGTCTCCTTCTATTGGTACGATTTTACTGGCGAAATTTGGCTTCTTTTTACGCAGGTTGTCATATAACTGAAATTTAAGAAAATGTAATTATTAACAAATAGAAGTCATATACATACGTATAAGAACAATTTGTAGAAAGGATGGATGAAAGTAGAGTAACGAAAGAAGTATACAGAGCGGATATGAATGGAGCCGTCGGTAGAGGGCGTCCTAGACGGACATATAGTGACCAGATTGGCGATATATTAAAGAAGGGCCAAATTAAAAGTACCCTTAACCGACGAGCATGCATGAAAAGATTGATGACTGTTAATGAAGCGAAAGAGGTATGTAAGAATCGTGGTAATTGGCGTTCCTTAGTCTCTGCCTACCCCCATGGGAGACAGGCGTGAAGTTATGTATGTATGTATGTAAGAACAATTTATTAACGAAAAGGGCATTGACTAAAATTGGTGCCATTCTTTTTTCTTTCATGATTTTTTGAGTTTTGACGACTGCCGCTACTCAATCCGCTACCGACGCTGCAGCTGACAAACATATCATTTCATGATAGGGCTCAGTAAAGTATTTTGCGAGTTTTCGACTGAGAGGAAATTGATCATGAAAATCTGTCGTAGGCCATAAACCGTCTAGTTACATAGAAAGTGAACACACTAGCCAATCAAGCGAAATGTTATTTTTACTTCAGCAGTAGCCAGTTAATGGTTTACTCGGGAGCCCATAGACAATTTCGTTTGTAATGACATTCTAGATAATATTTCCATAAATCATCGACTGCCGCCAGAAAAAAGAAAGGCACCAATTTTAGTCAATGCCCTTTGGTCATTGTCATTTTAGAAACAAAATAGAACAGACTGTATGCACTCGGGCAATTTCTGAGAATAGGCTTCATACTCAGCGCCAACAACACGTATGACGAACGAACTACCGCTTATATAAGGTGTTGTTTTAAAGCCGCGTCATTTTCTAGGAGGAACTCGGCTATCGATTCTGAGTCCGAATCAATGAAAAAATTGTAGGTAAATATTTTTCATTGTTCTGTCAATTACGGAAATCCGTAAGTGTGAACTACACGCCGCCGTCTTGTAGCTAGCTTTATAACGCGGCTTAATACACAAACTCAAACACGTAATTGATATTATTCCTAATTCCATTAAACTCCAATAAGAAACATTGCTGTCGCTTATTCTGAAATACTGTCGAACTTAAACGATTTATTATAGCCGCATTTTTAACTATTGGCCCGAAATTTTCTCTTACATTGAACCTTTATGACTTCTGTGACATGCCCCCGAGAAAAGACACGGTTTCAAAACTACACCTTGTATTGTACCCAGACTTATTAATAGGTCAAAAATAAACTTACACAAAATAATATGAAATATAAACATACATACATACATAACATCACGCCTTTTATCCTCAAAGGGGTAGGCAGAGGTGCACATTATACCACTGTACAATGTAACACCCACTTTTCACTATTTATGTTATGAGTCCCATGTAATAGGGGGTGAGCCTATTGCCACATACCGGGCACAGTTCCAGGCTCCGTGCTACTACTGAGAATTTTTTTAAAAACCCAGTAATACTTTGCCCGACCCGGGAATCGAACCCGAGACCCCTTGCTCGGCAGTCGCAATTGCGACCACTCGGCCAACGAGGCAGTCATAAAATATAAACTAAAGCAATATTACATAATTATATTATTATTATTATTATTTAGGAATATTTTTGTTTATCCTAATTGTTTATATTGTTAGCGATATTAACGTAATTTCCTACACAGTCAGCAACACACTCGTACTAGTGTTTTTTTTTTTTTAAGGGGGAAAATCATCGAATGACTGCTCCTGCCTGGGTGAGGCGGAAGGGAGTGTCAGACTCTTACTGACTAAAAACCACCCCGTTCCTTCTCCTGCACGTCGAGCCGGAGCCCCGGTTAAACTGTAAGCTTTATTGTTACTGATATAAGTATAAAAAAATGTTACCGGGTCACTTAAGATGTAGTTCAGTCGCTGATACACATCTCTTCCTTTTTTAGGTCTTAGTAGAATGTAAATCTTTTCTATTTCACACGCTCTGAAACAGAAATGTACTATTAAAGTCTTCATTATCGTGCGTACAGCCACGTACTGTCCACAGCCCCCCCCACAGGACCCCCCAATGGCTACACACCGCGAGGTTATAAGCAACCTGCATACAGTGACTATCGCGCACCATTATCAGGTGCAAGAGTATCCTTAATCTGAACTTGGAATTTTAGGATTTAATTGCTACTAGCTTTAACCCGCGGCTTCGCTCACGTCACAATAAGATACAAAGTAGCCTATATACCAATACACACAGCGCCATCTATACCAATACTTTTGTTTTCCCACGGGAATATCACATTTTTCCGGGATCAAAAGTACCCTATTATTTAATCCGGACTTCTAACTTTACGTCTGTAAAAATTCAAAGCAATCGGTTTAGTAGTTACGGCGTGAAATCGGAACAAACAAACTCACTTTCCGATTTATAATATTAGTAAGGACTAGTAAGGATATTGTAGTATTTATGCAGTAGGTATAAGTATTTGTTTAGCAGTATATATTATATGGTATGTATATGTCTATACAGATTTATAAAATATTTTATTAATATATTTATTCTATAGGTATTTATGTGTAGTATACATATTACATAATAATTTTTTTTTATTGTTTTCTGGCTTCGCATCAACCACTTCATTTCTCTGCACTTCCCTATGGTTGACTGTCAGAGAATGCCTTAAGGCATTAAGTCCGCCATTCACTGTTGTGTTTTGTGAAGAAGTTCCTTACTAATATTATACATCGGAAAGTGAAAGAAGGAAAGAAAGAAAGAAGAAAGAAAAATATTTTTTTGTGAGTGAGTGAAAGTGAGTTTGTTTGTTTGTTCCGATTTCACGACGTAACAACTAAACCGATTGCTTTGAATTTTTGCAGGCGTAAAGTTAGAAGTCTGGATTAAATAATAGGGTGTTAGTACTTTTTATCCCGGAAAAATTTGATATTCCCGAGGAAAAACAAAAGTATTGGTATAGATGGCGCTGTATGTATTGGTATATGTCACATAGGCTACTTTTTATCCTTTTGTGACGCGAGCGAAGCCGCGGGTAAAAGCTAGTATATAAATAAATACTGTTTGCTCCACGCTCGGTCATCCAGGGACTAATAAATTATAAGATTCACTTACCTAAAAATTTTCTCTATAAACTGTTTTCCCAAGAAACCAGACGCCCCCGTTATGAAGACCGTGGTGTCTTTATAGAACTGCTGGACGGGAGAGTCTCCTTGGTCTATGACGTCATTCATCGGCTTCTGCTTTTCCAGAAGCGCTAACTCAAACTTCTCGGCGATGTCCATTGCTGGAAAAATGCAGGATATATCATAATCATAAACATAACATACAACACGCCTTTTACCCCCGAAGAAGTAGAGGTGCACATTACGCCACTGTACAATGTAACACCCACTTTTCACTATTTATGTTCTAAGTGCCATGTAATAGGGGGTGAGCCTATTGCCATATGCCGGGCACAGTTCCAGACTCCGTGCTACTACTGAGATTTTTTTTAAAGTAATCCTTTGCCCGATCCGGGAATCGAACCCGAGACCCTTTCCGCCCGGCAGTCGTACTTGCGACCACTCGGCCAACGAGGCAGTCATGAGAGGAGGATATATCATTATAAGCTTAATCCATTTAAGTATGGGAGAGCTATGCTTTGGCACGAATGGGCCAGCTCGACCGGAGTGATACCACGGCCTCATAGAAAACCGACGTGAAGCAACGCTTGCGTTGCGTTTCGTCGTTTGAGTGAGGTTACCGGAGGCCCAATTACCCTCCCCTTCCCACATCTACCAAATCCCTGAATCGCCAACGATCTTCAAACTCCTAATCCCCGAAAGGCCGGTAACGCACTTGTAACGCCTTGGTGTTCCAGGTGTCCATGGGCGACGCCGATTGCTTACCATCAGATGATCCGTCTGCCCGTATACTGGCTTATGCCATAAAAAAACCACGCTTGAGTTGTGTTTCATTTCGTAAGTGAGGTTACTGAAAGCCGAAACTCTCCCCTTCCCTGCGTGGGCTGAGCACCGCCGTGCCCTCAGGGAAGTGATCGGCGATGGCGACCTCTCGCGTCCGGGCCTAGTGCAGGCCATGATGCGGAGCGAGGAGGACTGGGATGCCGTCTCCTCCTTTTGCGAAGCATTTATGCTAGCTAAGAAGGAGGCTGGACGCGTGAGGCAGCAAAGCGCTACCTCCTCGCAACCCAGCCATTGCGAGCCATTAGACCACCACAGATGGGGCCCAACAGGGCCGATGCCGATTCGGAGTCGCGGAACCTAACGGGTTACCGGCTACGGATCGCATTTTAGTTAGTAAGAGCCTGACACTCCCTCCCGCCTCACCCAGGCGGGAGCAGTCATTCGATGATTTTCCTCACTTAAAAAAAAATATAAAACACTCTCCCCTTCTTGCTTATCATCGGCTGAGTAACACGTAATTTGTAGTTAATTTAAAATTCTTTAACATAATTTTGTTCACTTCCAGAATAAGTAATTAATATTCAATAATGCAAAACAGTCTTGTATTTAAAAGCTTATTAACTAATGACTTGCGAAAACTAGTGAGTATATATCTATATAAATAAATATGAGTGCCTATTTGTTAGTCTTGCTAAAACTCGAAAACGGCTGAATCGATTAGGGTAATTTTGGTCTTGGAATGTTCGTGGAAGTCCAGGGAAGGTTTAAAAGAAGTATTTTTAGGTGGTATGCAGTTTGCCGGGTCAGCTAGTAACTTAATTACTATTTACCTAAATATCAATTTGTGAATTTTATTTGTTTACTTGCATCTCAACTTTGAACAAAATATTTCAAATATTTAATTAGAAATAGATTAAATATCTACAAGAAGGCACTTAGAAGTTTGTGATTCCGTTTCATTTAATACGTCTTTTACCCAAAACTTCTACAATAGGGATGATGACAGGGTATGAAAATTAAAAATGTAATTACTTAGTCCGTCAGTAAGGTAATTAAAAAATATTAGACACGTATTTTTTTATTTTATCGTATAAGAAAATACTTAAATATAACGAATCAAAGTTTAGGAGTGGGGGCTAAAACGTCATTTCTACGTATAAAATGTACATAGAAGTGACGTCACGCGACATTTCAAATCAATATATCGTCGAAAGTATTCGAAGAAAATAAAAATAACGTGTCTAATGATTTAAAACAATCTACCAGACGGACATTAAAATAAAAATTAGTCATCTACCCTATTATACAGGTACCTAATAATCTGTATAACAAAGGTATGTACATAGTATAATGAATTAAAGGAAAAATGGTAAAGTTCAGTATGAAGATAATATTTCTTATACGATAATATTATAAGTAAATTAATTATATTATATTTAGCTTTCATAACTATGTCGCCGTGCTAAGGCACGAGTTTAAAAAGGAAACCGGGTTTCATGTTGAAACTGTATCCAATTACGTGACACCTATTGTACACATGATATAATGCAATAAATATTTTAATTTGAATTTAAAGAAGTGCAAATTGATCGTAAACCCAATTAAACTTCTTAAACTCCTGAAGGTCTACAAATGTTCGACTTCCGAAGTAGCGTCTACTTCGGAAGTAGCGTGTACTTCGGAAGTAGCGTCTACTTCGGAAGTAGCGTCTACTTCGGAAGTATCGTCTACTTCGGAAATCGATAATCGAGGTGAAGCGGGAAGCTCAGTGGAGAGAACTTCAGTGGATGCTCTCTGCGCCTATTTAGGGGACGCAGGATACTAAGTCAAGTACAGACAGTAACATAACATAACATCACTGCTTTTATCCCCGAAGGGGTAGTCAGAGGTGCACATTACGGCACTAAATGCCACTGTACAATGTAACACCCACTTTTCACAATCATGTTATGAGTCCCATGTAATAGGGGGTGAGCCTATTGCCATATACCGGGCACATATCCAGACTCCGTGCTACTACTGAGATTTTTGGAAACCCAGTAATACTTTGCCCGACCCGGGAATCGAACCCGAGTCCCCTTGACCAACAGTCGTCCTTGCGACCACTCGGCCAACGAGGCAGTCAAGTACAGCTTGGCAAAAAAGAGATTGACGCTATGACAGCAGGAACTAATATTGACTTGGACGGAATCATTTACTTCGGAATATGTCCCATGAATAAACAATCATCCGAACATATTACCTCCTGTTTTGAAACTCGATAAAAATAACAAATATCGGTTGGTGCGGTGGCTGGGCAACCGGCTGCCGTGCAACGTGTCGCGGATTCGATTCCCGCACGGAACAACACTTTATGTGATCCACAAATTGTTGTTACGGGTCTGGGTGTCATGTGTATGTGAACTTGTATGTTTGTAAACGCACACACGACACTGGAGACAATCCTAGCTCCAGCAGCACGTCCGGAGCCCCGGCAACCCGTTAGGTTCTCCGCGACTCCGAATCGGCATCAGCTCTATTGGGTCCCATCCGTGGTTGTCTGATGGCTCCTTGAGGTGCGCGGAACGCTCGGTGCCGTATGCTCGGGTCTGGTTCTGGTTGGGCGGCGAGCCACCCATGCTCGCCGTCCTCAGGCCCGCGCTTACGGTGGCCGGAGGTCGTCCCGCATCGTCAGACCCATAGAACGTCCACTGCTGAACATAAGCCTCCCCCAGTGACGCCATATGTCGTGGTGGCCCGGAGGTTTAAGACGCCCGCTTGTCATGCATGAGGGTGCGGGTTCGAAACCTGCAAACGGCTACTAATTTGAATTTTTCCGAGTTGTATGTACTTTCTAAGATTATCTAGACACCACTGACAAACGGTGAAGGAAAACATCGTGAGGAAACCTGGGCTTATAATTTTTTATTATAAGTATGAAATCGACAATCAGCATTGTGCTCAGCAGTGAACTCTTATAGGCTGTTGATGATGATGATGATCATGAATGCCACCATATACATGGTGGGATATTGTAATGCCACCTGAAGGGGCGTACTCTTAATACTTAAGATAGAAAATTTTACTCAACGAAAACATTCCTTTATTTTGCAAAAATGAAAATTGCATACAAAAAATTTTAAAAATTCGCTTGCCGTACACACGTTCACCATTATTGTAAATCATAATATTAATTTGAGATTTCATTGTTTTCCTTTCATTTAACTTATGAAGTTTGTTAAGAGAGATTGTATCCTTTTTGACCCTAACGATCGATGCAGTAAAAGTACACAGAGCAACGTTTACAGATTTTAGTCGATTCGATTAACGTGTGCGGCAAGTAAAAGTTAAAAATCTGTGAATGCAGTTTTCTTTTTTTTAATAAAGGAATGTTATCTTTGAGTAAAATGTTCGATCTAAAGTATTAAGAGTACTTCCCCTTCAGATGGCATTATAAAATTCCACCCTGTATGTCAGGTAAAACTGACCGGCATCGTTTGACATGTCGTTGATACATGTGTAACATTTGTGCCTTAGTGTATCCTACGCTTAAAATTTTACGGAACGAGGGGGACTCAGATTCCGTCTCCTCATTCTGCAAAGCAGTCATGCTAGCTAAGGAGGAGGCAGAGCGCATGAGGGAACGAACCGCTTCACGCCCCAGCCGGCGCGAGAGACACTCCAGGCGTCGGGGATCGCGAGACGATCTCCGGCCACAGTAAGCACGGGCCTGCGGACGGCGAGCACGGATGACTTGTTGCCCGACCAGAACCAGACCCGAGCGTACGGCGCGTCGTGTTCCGCGCGCGCCTCAAGGAGCCATCAGACCACCACAGATGGGGCCCAACAGGGCTGACGCCAGGTTAACGGGTTGCCGGGGCTCCCGCTCGAAGTGCAGGAGATGGAACGGAGTGGTTTTTAGTCAGTAAGAGTCTGACACTCCCTCCCGCCTCACCCAGTTCTAAAATCTGTTCATGTCACTTGTATTTAGCGTGTGACATAAATGATATTTCTTTCTTTCTATAAACCCAGTGGAATAGGTCAAGAGATTTAATAATAAACACAAGTTCAGGCTCCAATAAAGTTAAATAAGCAACCCCTACTAAAATACCAATAATCAAAATTACCGCTTTTAAATCTTATACTCTTATACTATTATCTAAAGCGGAAGAGTTTGTTTTTATGTTTGAACGCGCTAATCTCCGTAAATACAAGTCTGATTTGAATAATTCTTTTTGTGTTGGATAGCGCATTTATCGAGAATGGCTATAGGCTAGGCTAAAACATCACGCTACGACCCATAGGAGCTGAGCAGAGCGTGTGAAACCGCGCGGAAGTAGCTAGCATAGTAATATAATAAGTACTCTTAAATGTAACAAACACTTTTCTGAAAATTGTATCAATATCGTTTCAGCCATTTGCGAGATAATCGCGCACAAACATACATATAAGTCAAACAGATATCCTTTTTAAAAGTCGTTTAAAAAAAATTTGCTTACCCATATTTCACAGTTAACTTCGCCAATACAAAATAAATATTCTAAAAAAAAAAACCTCAAAATATACAATAACTCGGACACTTTGATTTAATTCTCCAGTTTATAAAACTTAAGCAATGTAAAAATAAAAATTATACATATATCACTTATATATAAATTATATAATAGTTGTATAAAATTTGTTACAACCTATATATATATATATAATTTGACAAGGTGACTCTTGTACCGGTACCGGGTTGTAACTGAATTAGATGTAGCCACTACGTTCTATATACATATAATTTTAAGGTAATAGTGTACGTACATACGTGTTCATGTACAAAAAATAGTTAAATTACATTATGTATGTACACGACTAAAACAAAATAGTTTACGAGAACTGAATATGTATATAGAATACGTAATTAAAATATAACGTAACTAAAGAGTATAAACTGCCCATGAGCTTAGCGTTTGACACTATTGAAACCAGGGTGCTTACTCTTGAAACCAATCTCAATGTCAATGCAATTTCCAATTAATAAAATCTCAATAATTATTCATTGTCAACACTATACAACCACAATCGTAGCTGTTACAGTAGCATTCAGAGTACGGAATATAAAGCCAAACTCAATACCATTTAGTTCATTCAACATCCAAGCAATACGGATGCAATGGGTGCTAGTGTTGCAACTCAAGAGTACGAAATTTCACAATACCAATGTTGAGCGATTGGAATTGGATTCAAGAGTAAGCCTGGTCTGTTCTGGAGTCCTTGCAATGGTGCCAAATCGATTGGCGATAAGTTCAACTGCTGAGAGATCTGTACGATGCTGCAACTATGGTCGTCTAAGTACAGAACCAGCAGTCTGAACCTGTCTACCTGCATCGGGGGGTAAGACAAGGCGATCTTATTTCTCCCAAATTGCTTACCAATGCTTTGGAGGATATGTTCAAGACGCTGCACTGGAAGGGACGGGGCATAAATATAAACGGCAAGTACCTATCTCTCAGTAGGAGAATGCCCTTCGTGGGCTGAACGCAGCCGTGCCCTCAGAGACGTAATCAGCGATGGCGACCTCGGCGATGGCGGTCATGATGTGGAGCTAGGGGGACTGGGATGCCGTCTCCTCCTTTTGCGAAGCAGTCATGCTAGCTAAGAAGGAGGCGGCGCGCGTGAGGCAGCAAAGCGCTGCCTCCTCACAACCCAGCCATCGTGAAGGACACTCCGGGCGTCCGGGATCGCGGGACGAGCTCTGGCCACCGTAAGCGCAAGCCTACGGACGGCGAGCATGGGTAGCTCGCCGTCCGACCAGAACCAGACCTGAGCGTACTCAAAGAGCCATCAGACCACCACGGATGGGGCCCAATAGGGCTGATGCCGATACGGAGCCGCAGAGAACTTAACGGGTTGCCGGGGCTCCCTCTTCTGACTCTCCCTCCCGCTTCACCCAGGCGGGAGTAGTCATTCGATTATTTCCCCCCTTAAAAAAAAGTACCTATCTCTTACACTTGAGATTTGTAGATGACATCGTTATTGTGGCTGAAACTGTGAAGAACCTACAACATATGCTGAGTAGCCTGGCTGATTCTTCTAATCACATTGGACTCCGGATGAACTTGTTCTACCGTAGCCGGAGTTGTTCAGGAGTATACCTACCTAGGACAAACCCTACAATTTGGCAGAAGCAACTTCAAGAGGGAGGCTCGTAGAAGAATAGGTACAGCTTGGCTGAGCGGCATATAGGAAACTCTATCGGGTCTTTTCGTCAACTCTACCGCAAAGCCTGAAGACAAAAGTCTTCAACGAGTGGGTTTTGCCAGCAGTGACATACGGAGCCGAGACGTCGTCACTGACACTGCGACTGGTCCACCAATTTAAGGTAGCCAACGAGCGAGCTATGGAGAGGACTATGCTCAGAGTTTCTCTAAAGGATAGGATCCATAACGAGGTGATCCGACAGAGAACTAAAGTTACCGACGTAGCCCAAAGGATTAGCAAACTAAAGTGGCAGTGGGCTGGCTTACATTTGTCGAAGAACCGATGAATGTTGGGGTAGACGTGTCCTGGAGTGGAGACCGCGTCTAAGCTAGTGTAGGGCGCCCTCCAGCTAGGTGTAGTGACGACATCCGCAAGGTGGCTGGCAGCGATTGGATGAAAGGAGCTGAAGATCGAGCTCCGTGGCGTGAGTGGCGTGCCATTGGAGAGGCAGTGGATGAGAACAGGCTGTAAATGATGACATAACGTAACATTATATCACGCCTTTTATTCCTGAAGGGGTAGGCAGCGGTGCACATGACGGCACTTAATGCCGCTGTACAATGTAACACCCACTTTTCACTATTATGTTATGAGTCTCATGTAATAGGGGGTGAGCATATTGCCAAATACTGGGCACGATTCCAGACTCCGTGCTACTACTGAGATTTAAAAAAAACTCAGTAATACTTTGCGACCACCCATCCAATGAGGCATTCTGTAGGTTCGTAATTATAACACCTTATATTTGTTTAATTATACATTTGAAATCGTCAACCCGCATTGAGCAAGTGGGGTGATTAATTCTTTTTAGTGATCCAAGTCACGGCCTAGTTTTCAATTTAAAATACGTTTAGTACGGTTGACAGTCGTCGCAGGAATGGTCACCCTGGGAGACACCTTGTCGCACGAAATCGTATCGTAGCAATTCGTGTCGTACTTTTCTGCATTGCGAATTCGCATTGCCTCGCATCGCAGTTTTGTGTACGAGCCCGCGCTGCGTTGCGTTGTTGCAATGGAACACCATATGTACACGATGCGATGACGCACGACATCCCGGCGCTTACGGGGTCAACAATACTTGGTATTAGCGATTAAATACGCCTAGAACATACGTGTGCGGGTTACTAGTACGATGCGACGTTGTTTCGCTTGCGCCTCGTGGGCATCTCGCTGTCCGTCGCTGACGGCGCGCTGCCGGCGCGCTGCCGGCGCGCTGGCGGCACGCTGGCGGCTTCATGGCGGTGTAAATACAACTCGAAAGAACCGCGCTACCCACCGGCCGTCGGCTATTTAATTAACGATGTGAAATATGTCATACGACATACGATTCAAAGTTCATATTTAAATGAATATGTCATTGGTGGGCTAGAGCCGTGTTTGTTAGATCAGATGTGTTCACTTCAGTCGGGTATAGGACACCCGCGGGAAGAGTAGGGGTGGTGACAAGTGTATTCTTACTCTGCCGTCGTCATACACCTATGACACCAGAGACATCATCATCATCATCACGCAATCACCCACACTTGGTTTACTGTCGTCTCCCAAAGTCTTCTAGATCAGTCCACATGAATGTTTAAAATGCTATTTTTAGCTTGTAAGTATTAATTTGTATTCGTAAACATATTGCCATGTAGTTGACAATAGGTACAAGTAATTAATTATTTAGAATACTTGATGTGACTGTGTATCAATATGCGCGTGCGCAATATGTAGTGTAATTCGCGCCGTTCTGCGATTTTTTTTAAATGACCGCACGACCCTCTCGACTATAACAGTTACAACTTAAGTATACAGGGTGTTTGGCATATGGACCGATGCAATTATTTCAGATATTTTTGGGGAAGCCGTTCGCTTCCTTTTCAAAAGACAAAATAATTTAATTACACCTGAAATGCACTTTTGAACGTAAACAAAAACTTTTGAAGTGAAGCTATTTGTTGTTTTTCGGCTTACTCATGTAATTATTTGACGAGGGACTCGGTTAGTTTCAAGCCATGCTTTTTTTAAGGGGGAAAATCATCGATTGACCCGCCTGGGTGAGGCGGGAGGGAGTGTCAGACTCTTACTGACTAAAAACCACCCCGTTCCTTCTCCTGCGCGTCCAGCCGGAGCCCCGGTAACCCGTTAGGTTCTCCACGACTCCGGATCGGCATCGGCCCTGTTGGGCCCCATCTGTGGTGGTCTGATGGCTCTTTGAGGCCCGCGCGGCACGCGACGCGTCGTACGCTCGGGTCTGTTTCTAGTCGGACGGGGAGCCACCCATGCTCGCCGTCCGCAGGCCCGCGCTTACGGTGGCCGGAGATCGTCCCGCGATTCCCGACGCCCGGAGTGTCCTTCGCGATGACTTCAAGCCATGCTAGAGGCTCATATTCATGAGCAGCATTCCGTGACTCGCAACCCGCGACGTTACGACTGTCGCGCTGCTAAAGTAGCAGGAGCCAAAAACATAATAATTAATTTAGTATGTCGCATGAATGCTATAATATAAATGAAGGTATTTGCTCATTCCAAGGTGTAGATGCCTGTTACTTACTTTTTGCTTTCTAGTTATTAAGATTTGTTTTGTTTTTAGTTTTTGGTTTTTTAAGTCAGCTTTTTATAACTGGGTCCATGTAGTTTTGCTTATTATTTTAGATTTTTTTATGTAATTAATTTAGTAGTTCAAAATATTCAAACGTGTGAACGAAAAATGGAAAAGAAAATATTTCATTGATAGATATTAAAATAAATGAGTTAAGTAAAATCGCGGGTTACTTATCGCTCACTGAGCTCACTGAGTGAGCTGCGCGACGTCGCCACGACCGCGCACGCTACTCATGAGGAAGAACCCCACTGTGGTTCGAAACTAGTAGACCTTTTCTCAGTATATTCACGTGAGTAACCCGCGATTTTACTTAGTTTAGTATGTCACACGATAGTTATTATAAAAAAATAAATGAGTTTATGAAATAGCGACATTCAATATGCTCTGATTTCATCTTTACGCATGGTAACTTTGTAAACGTCAATCGCGGTTTGTTTTTAATAAGTCAACGTTTGACTGCCTCATTGGCCGAATGCGACTGCCGGGCAAGGGGTCTCGGGTTCGACTCCCGGGTCGGACAAAGTATTACTGGGTTTAAAAAAAATCTCAGTAGTAGCACGGAGTCTGGAAATGTGCCCGGTATATGGCAATAGGCTCACCCCCTATTACATGGGACTCATAACATAAATAGTGAAAAGTGGGTGTTACATTGTACAGTGGCATTATGTGCCGTAATGTGCTCCATCGTCGGCCACATCATCGCTTACCATCAGGCGAGATGGTGGTCAAACGTCGACCCATAAAGTATAACAAAAGCACCTCAATATATGAAGGCGATAAAAAGGCGTGATTTTATGTTATGTTATGTAAGTTATCGTTTTGTTGATTGCTTCTTATCATCATTATTGAATATCAGTTTTTCAAGGGTTTCCCTGATGAAATCTGCCGTTCTCCCTTGTAAGCTTGTAAGACATTTTTTGGAAACCATTTTGGAAATTTATAGAAACCATACTTTGGGGTATACACCAAAAGTTATATACGTTAAAAGTTATAAGTAT